GACCATCGGGGCCCAGGCCTCTCCTGGGGGCGCGTGGACGCGGCCGCGGCCCAAGTCTCAGTGTCGGGAACTGACGGGAACTGACGGTCCGGCGACTCCGTGAAGGCCTCCCGGATACCACGTGGCTCCGTTTCAGGCCTCGGGTCCCTTTCTGCCACCTCCCGGGGGGATGGATGCGCCGAGGCCCAACCGCAGGTTCCGGTTGCCAAGGAAACGCGGCCGCGACCTCACAATGCCCAGCGGAACGCAGACGCCTCGGCGGCCCAGGGGACACCAGGATCCAGAGTCCCACGCAATCACCGACCACAGACCCATCAGCCTCGTGGCTGAGTCACTTTCCGACGTGACCTCACGCGGGTGACAGTACCACCGCCCACCCCTCGCCTGTGCTTACACCGAGCATCTCCACGGATCCGCCAGCACCGGGTCGCGGCTTGGGCTTCGGTCCAGGTTGTGTGCCCTGGAGCCTCCAATCTTGTGGACTGGTTCAGGTGACCCTATTTTTTTTCTGTCAATAGGGAACCAGAGTTTCAGGGAAGATCTCAAAGATTCTCCTCCTTTTAAGATTGCGATTGAATTTTTTCAATAACTTGTTTTCTGGTCACAAACATAACATGTTTGGGGTGGGGGGGAATTAAATAAAAAAGAAAGGAAGCCTCTCTTGTCCTGCTTCTTTATATACTTTCTTGCACTAGTCAATTTTCTCGAAGTCAAGTAAGGAAAGGTTGAAATCCACAATAGCTACCAGGCTTATTACCTAACATTTTGCATAATTTGTGCAGCCCCCTGGCAAGTGAGCAGGCCCTGCAGTGAGTCGGCCTGCGATTGAATTCTGGCTCCAATGCTTCTAGCTTTTTTCACTCAACCAATCAGCGCCTCTGTGTGCTCATCTGTGAAATTGAGATAATACCCTCCCACCTCCGGGGTGGCTGTGAGAATTCACTGAGATAACACGTATAAAAAAAACACTTAGCACATACTGGGCACCTGGTGAGCATACACTGAGTAAGTCATTATACACAATCTTCAACAACTCGAAGGAAAACTCCCATCTTTCAGGCAGAGCAAACTGAAGTCTACAGAGGCAACATCATTGACCTGAGATGGCGTAGCTCCTGAGTTACGGAGACAGGATTTGAACCCAGGACATTACATGACTATGCTGATGTTCAGAGCTTTCAACTCTTCGCCCTCCCGGAATAGTGACCCTTCTAGTAGCCCTCGCCTCCCAAATGCCCACAGTCAACAGGTAGGGGGCAGCATTCGATATTTGTAGCCCCTCGATGTAGAAAAACCCACCAGCCGTCCAGTCCTTATTTCTGTTTGTTTTTTTTTAATATATTTTATTGATTTTTTACAGAGAGGAAGGGAGAGGGATAGAGAGCCAGAAACATCGATGAGAGAGAAACATCGATCAGGCGCCTCCTGCACACCTCCTACTGGGGATGTGCCTGCAACCAAGGTACATGCCCTTGACTGGAATCGAACCTGGGACCCTTCAGTCCCCAGGCCAACGCTCTATCCACTGAGCCAAACCGGTTCTGGCAAGTCCTTATTTCTAACAACTACTTAAATTTCATATAACTGGGCGGGAGCCTTTCCGTCTTCATCACCCCTGAGCACCCCCTAAGTGCCCTTCATTTGCCCTTCACTTGGTGTGACTGCAGAGCCGACCCCCACAAGCCATTCCCCTTTAAGAAGGCTTTATGTTCTACTTGCTCCTTCCCACTTCTCCACGGGGGCCTCCCCCTTGGACCCAGGCTCTGTGCTTCCTGCCTCCTGTGCCAGAGTCAAGCGCAAGGGAAATCCTGACAGACTTGGCCGGGAAAGAGACGACGAGGTCCACGTGGGACATAATCTGCATGTTCAGTGCAAGGACGAGCGGCCGAAGGTGCCAGCTCCCTGCAGCCTGTGCTCCGGGCAAGGCGGAGGCAGGAGGGGCCAGGGGACTGCAGCGGAACAGTGGGACCCCGTTGCTGAGCCAATGCAGCCACGTGACAGCCTGCAACTGGGCCCTCCCTCCATGGGGGGGGGGGGGGGGGTCAAGGCTGCCAGGACGCTAGGAGGCCCCTGGAAACGATCGCCCTAATCGCCCTCCTCGCAAGCCTCCTGGGCCCCGTGTTCCGGGAGGATGACAGGCGCTCTGCCAGGATTCAGCTACGTTCGGCCTGGCCCCTGGGCCTGTGAATGTGCACACGGTGCCCAGGGCACCAGGACGCTGCCCTGCACAAAGCCCCTCACAGGCTTCCT